CCCCCACCTTACAATTGGGTTTCAGAACAGTGTGACTTGGATCGAAGGTAGCTCAAATCAAGTACTTTTGACCTTGAGTATTTGTAACTTTTTAAACATTTGTTAGTTTAATGTGTTTTTATTTTGTTTTTGTAGGTTGAAGTTAAAATGGAATAAAAGGAGAAAAAATTTGACTTCGTAACATAATTCAGTATTTAAGACATACTCTCTCATCCAGAGTTCAAATAAGGTGATCTTAGCGGCATTGGAAAGATAAGAGACAGCTACAATTTTTGTGAAGAACCAAACACTAATTCAGCCATATAGAAGGCGAAAATCCTCATCAAAATCACACACTCACTGCAACCGGAAATCCATCTCAAAAGCTTTTGTCCCCTTTGGAAAAGTTTCAAATACCATCATAAATCTGCAAAGTTAACCATGTTTGACATTGTATGACTAAGTATGGGGCATTTGGGTATGGTTGGAGAGCTTTTCCGCTTTACCTTTTGACAATGGTCAAATTTGTGTAGAAAATACAATGTCCTGCATACATTGTTCGTCTAACCTTTCCGGATTACTACTTAATGATGAGAGAACAATTCAATAGAGTGCATGTTTTTCCATACTAAATGACTAATTGTGTTTTTTTTTTTTTTTTGGTGAATTACAAGAATGACTAATTAACTTGGGTTTACGTACTTATAACAAGGAAGAAAATTTAATTGGGTTTACATATGAATAATATGAATGGGGTACTACATTAATTATGAGGTGATTAGTGTAATTTGATTGAAGTAGTTATAAATGTGAAAATCGTTATAACATAAACAAAAATACATGGCGCAACGTGCTCTGGAGGCAAATGTTTTTGATGACATTAGGGATGTTATTTCTTTTGTTCAAAGTGGTGATGTTTAGTATGTCTCTGTTTCTTATTTCATTCTTTATCATATAGTATCTTGCGTGTATGCCTCTTAAACTCTAATCATTTTGGTATTTTGGTCTCTAATCATTTTAGTATCTTATAGTAGCTCGCGATGACTGTCATCCCTTCTCTGCGCCCATCCGCCATTGATGAATGATTTCTTTCCTTGTGCCTTTACACCCTCTATTATTGTCACCCTACACCCTTGATGATTGTCGTCCTCTTTAAAACCCCTCTTCTCATCATCCATAGCAGTTCCATCACCCATATTGACTCCTTCTATAACATTCCAAGATCGGAATTATCTCCTGTCATAACTTCATCTTGCAAAGGTCTATTAGGGAAAGTATATATAGCTATATCTTTAGCAATAGTTTGAATTTAATTGTATTTCTTTCAATGTACAATCATCTTCATTTTAGAAGATTTGATAGCTTCAGGTAACATACTCAATTATTGTAACAGATTGCATTTACATGAAGTCCATTGATAATACCACTTACTAATAGGTTATCTCTATCCTCCTTATTCATAGATGGGGTCACATTTTCGAAACATGTTAAATTCTTATGTTCTCTTCTTTTAAAAGCTACGCATCCTAATTCTATACTATAGGAAGTACTAAAAATCGAAGAAGGAAAAAGAACGCTCAATTTATAGTGAATTATTTTTAATGAAGATCTTCATTTATTTTCAACTGCTACAGAAACTCACTATGATGAAAAAAAAAAAAAAGATTACAAAAGAAATCGAACACCTCTCACACAATTTATATTTTCTCCAACCTCTCAATTAACCCTAAAAAGGGTGCCTCCTCTATTTAATTAAGAAAAAAGTAGGGCAATAACATTTCAAAGTGAGAAATTCCCCAGGCTTAATGTGCATGTTGTTTTTACATCAGGATAACAATTAGGCTCCACAAGTTAACTATCTCCCACTTAGAGACTAATTCATGGCTACTTCATGCAACAACAAAAACTCATCCTCAATAAAGAAGTGCAATTGAAGTTGCACATTATTTCAGCATCTCAATCGGAGTCATAGTCAACATATCAGCTGGATTCTGACTCTTTGAATATTCACAGGTATTCTAAGACTTCATTCTTCAAAATTTATCTTCTAAATGATAACAAACGTGTATATGCTTTGTGCTAACATGATAAACATGATTTTTTTTAGCAAATAAATAGTATTCTGACTATTATGATCTAAACACACATGTTGTTTCTACATTAGAACAATAATAATTAAGCTCCGAAACTTAACATCTTTTTCCTTTCATTTTCTTTCTTTAATTTTTAGTATTAAGGACACTCACTGATTTCCATGAACTTGCGAATTATTCTTTTGTGAAAGTTAAATATAAGATTCACGATTTTTTATGCACCATTTGCTCACCAAAATAAAATCTTAATTATCAACAATTTTTTTTTCGTCCAATAGCCACATCCTGATCATCAGAGCTGGAACTCAAATTCTAGTTTTCAATTCAACCAATCAAGTCCCATGCACAAAAAAGAAAAAGTAAAAATAAAATAAAATAAATCAACCACCAATGTCCCTTTCTTTCTTTCTTTCTTTTTTTTTTTTTTTTTTTTTAATTTTAATCTTACTTTCTTTGGTCTTGCCAAAAGCTGTTCTGAAATTAAAAGGACTTTTCGTTTTTCAAATAGCTAGACCTAGATAGCATTTCACTGAGCTCCCAAGTGGTAGATATCAGACCCAAGTGGCCAAGCCAATAATTTTTATACAACAAGTATGCGACACACATAATTAAGCAAGATAACAAAATCTCCCTATACATATATATATATATATATGTGTGTGTGTGTGTGTATGTGTGTGTGTGTGTGTATATATATATATATATATATATATATATATAGCCAGCTCTCATTTTCAAGAATCTGTGGCACCTAATATAACAACATGAAATTTGGTCGATACAAGAGAATCTGCTAGAAGATGCATGCAAGAGACCAAAACTTAAAGATGGTCCCCAAAAACCAGCTATATAAAGTAGAATTGTAACACTTTTAAGTTTTTAACAAGAGTTTTAGCAAATCAAGGATATGGGCAGTGCAATTTATATAGAATTAGGGCTTTGGAAAGAAAAAGGAAAAGATAAGGGACCAAAAGGAGGCATCATCACCTCCCATGCCATTAACCACAGAATGTAATTGATGATTTTTCCTTATGTGGGCCTCTTATTTGTTCACCCCTTCTTTTAGTTTGGTTTTTTTTTTTTTTTTATGTAATAAAAAAAAAAGCTTTTCACCAATTGAACTGTATCATTGATTATTATCCTTCAAAATCTCAGCATTTGGTCCCACAAAGCACTACTTTCTTTTAATCTTAGCATGGCACCAAAGTTAACTATCCCCTAATGTGACTCTGAGAGTCAGGTTTGGGATCAAGGTCATGGCTTACATGATTTCCTAAACCTGTAATAATTATGACTAATATTCTTGGGCTAGCTAGGCAGCAATTAAACATTAGGAATTGGAAAAAAAAAATGATAATCTATTTGAAACACCAAATTCATGTATGGAATTTTCTTAATTGAATATAAAAGGTTAGAATATTTACATCTTACATTTAATTGATAGAAGAAGATTGGATAAAGAGACCAAAAGCTAGGTGGGCGAAATTGGATCTACATATATTTGAAGAATTTGAAGGAATATTTATTGCGGACTAGTTGGATAAAATTAAACTCTTGATATAAGCCTATTTAGGGAGAAAATGAAGTGTAAATTAGGTTGTGTATCACTTTTAAAATTTAATTATTCATCTAGACTACTTTCATGTGTAAGTTAGACTTGAATGTTTCACAAACCTGACCGTTTGAACATCCACTTTCATGTGTAAAATTTTATTATTCATATACTGATATTTTTTGTGATAAGTTTGATATATGTTGGATTCGTTATCAAATTTTGATATTAGAATACTTTTTTTTTTTTGAAAGTACATCTAATTTCGTTTAGTTGATGTGTTGATCTTTTCATTTAATAAATACAATATTGTTTTTTTCAATAATTTAAAATTTAGAAGTGTACTTTTTCCTTTAATTAAGTATATCATTAAACTTTTTTTCCTCGCCAAACATTGACATACGTCTAATACATATCCTTTACACGTACCCCAAATATTAGACCCCCCACCCAAAAAAAAAAAAAACAAAGAAGAAAAACCACTATTAATACTAATGAAGAAGCAACATATATATATATATATATATATATATATATATCATTCTCTTAATACTACCTGCATTTTCCTCAATAAAGGCAGTAACCTTAATTAAAAAAAAAATAGAAAAAAGAGACAAGTATGAGTACACAAAATGGGCGACTGTATGTATTTTGTCGTGCAAAACCACAGCAGTGCATGCAATATGTTTGCAACAACCTCCCAAAATTCTAATAGGAGAAACATTCTCACGCTCACTGACAGAAAGTGACCCTTGGATCTGATACAAGACAATACATATATTTGTACCCAAAAAAAAAAAAAAATATATATATATATATATCATTCACATCACATATAACGAAATGTGTGTATTTTCATATATTATTCTCTCTGCAGCGCCGGATTTTGATATACCTTGTCTGTGGGCCCCAAGGCCTTTTGACCAAAAGTCAAATCAGTCCTCTCACTACTACATTCCCCCCCTTCTGATGCTACAGATTTATGGTAGCAAAGTCATTACTGAAAGATTTGATGTGAAGAGAGAAAGAACCGTATTAAGTACATACAACAATTAACAAATATTTTACATTTACACCCACCACCACGTCCAATTCCGTTCTTTTTCTTATTCCTTCCCACGTTCCCTCTTTTTCTTTTCTCATTTTATAAAAAAAAAAAAAAAAAGAAAGCAACTTTCTTTTCCTAAAGCTTTCTTTCAACTCCTGCTTTGCCACAACAAATTCTCATCATACTACTCACCACTCTCTCACTCTACATTTTACAAACCACCCTCTCTCTCTCTCTCTCTCTCTCTCTCTCTCTCCTCTCTCTCCTCTCTCTCTCTCTCACTTGACAAATTCACTCCTCTAGCTTCTTACAGAATTTTGTTGCATCAATGGAGAGAAACCCAGTTCAGCTTTTGCATCAATATGCTTCTCTAACTCTTATTTTGATGGTGATAGTATGCTTTTCCACAGCTGAACAACAAGTTGTTCTTTCAGGCAAGACAGACGGTGAGGCTCTTATGAAGTTCAAGAAGATGATTCAGAATGACCCAAAAGGATTCTTATCCAGTTGGGAGATGAGCAAGAGTTTATGCAGCTGGTATGGAGTTTCATGCGCTTTGGGGAGAGTAATTCAGCTTGATCTTAGCGGTTGTTCTCTACAAGGGTCAATATCTTTTGACCCTTTTTCTTCTCTCAACATGTTGTCTGTTCTAAAGCTCTCTTCAAATCAATTTACTCTGAATTCCACTTCTCTTCTTCAGCTTCCTTATGGGCTTAAACAGCTTGACCTTTCTTTGGCTGGAGTTGTCGGAACTGTCCCTGAGAATCTCTTCTCCAGGTGTCCAAATCTTGCCTATGTCAATCTTGCTATAAACAACTTGACAGGTTCTTTGCCAGAAAATCTGTTTTTGATTGCTGATAAACTTGAGTCCCTAGACATTTCTTATAACAACTTATCAGGGTCTACTTCTGGTTTGAAGATAATGGGGAATTCCTGCAACTCTTTGGTGCTTATCAATCTGGCATCGAACAGTTTGACGGGCTCGATTTCTCCGGCCCTTTCGAACTGCTCGAATCTGCAAAACATCGACTTCTCAATCAATTACCTCACCGGGGAAATCCCGAAATCTTTTGGGGAGTTCAAGAGTCTGCAAAGGCTCGATCTCTCTCAAAATCAGATCACGGGTTGGATCCCTTCGGAATTGGGAAACGCCTGCAGTTCGCTTCTCGAACTTAAGCTCTCGAAAAACAACATTTCGGGCCCGGTTCCGACATCCTTGTCCTCATGTTCTTGGATGACAATTCTGGACCTTTCCAACAACAATATATCTGGTCCTATACCAGATTCCTTGTTTCAGAATCTAGGCTCTTTAGAGAGCTTGGTTTTGAGTAACAACATCATTTCCGGACCATTCCCTGCTTCCATAAATTCTTGCAAGAGTTTGAAGGTTATAGACTTCAGCTCCAATAGGATATCTGGCTTCGTCCCAAGAGATTTATGTCCTGGAGCCGCCTCCCTCGAGGAACTCCGAATGCCGGACAATCTTATTATAGGAGAGATTCCTGCGGAGTTATCGAAATGTTCGCAACTTAAGAGGATTGATTTGAGCCTGAATTATCTAAATGGATCAATTCCTGCAGAGTTCGGGGAGCTTGAGAATCTGGAGAAGCTAATAGCTTGGTTCAATGGCTTGGAGGGAAGAATCCCACCAGAGTTGGGAAAATGCAGGAATCTCAAGGATCTAATTCTCAACAACAATAAGATAAGTGGTGAAATCCCAACTGAATTGTTCAACTGCAGCAATCTCGAATGGATTTCGCTTACGAGTAATGAATTGAGCGGCGAAATCCCTCGCGAGTTTGGCCTTTTGACAAGGCTGGCTGTTCTGCAGCTCGGGAATAACAGCTTGAGTGGGGAGATACCAGGGGAGCTAGCAAATTGCACCAGCTTGGTTTGGTTGGACCTGAACAGCAACAAGCTCACCGGTGAAATCCCGCCCCGACTGGGACGCCAGCTCGGTGCAAAAGCAATAACCGGTATCCTCTCCGGTAACACCTTGGTGTTCGTGCGCAATGTGGGGAATTCTTGTAGAGGAGCAGGGGGTTTGTTGGAATTCGCTGGAATCCGACCCGATAGACTCTTACAAGTACCATCATTGAAGAGCTGTCAGTTCACAAGGTTGTACTCTGGTGCGGTACTCAGCTTGTTCACGCAGTACCAAACTCTGGAGTACCTCGATCTCTCTTACAACCAGCTTCGCGGTAAGATACCCGAGGAATTCGGCGACATGATTGCCTTACAAGTTCTAGAATTAGCCCACAATCAGTTATCCGGCGAAATTCCTTTCTCCCTTGGAAAGCTTAAGAATTTAGGCGTGTTTGATGCATCACACAACAGATTGCAAGGCCAAATACCGGATTCCTTTTCCAACCTTTCATTCTTAGTGGAAATAGATCTCTCCAACAATGAGTTAACAGGGCAAATTCCAACAAGAGGGCAGCTTAGTACGCTTCCCGCAAGCCAGTATGCCAACAACCCGGGACTTTGCGGGGTTCCTTTGCCCGAATGCCAATACAACAACAACCAACCATCCACCGCAAACCCGAGTGTGGATGCAGGAAGAGGTGGAAGAAAGGCCTCGGCTGCATCATGGGCTAATAGCATTGTGTTGGGGATTCTAATCTCCATTGCTTCCATATGCATTCTGATCGTGTGGGCGATTGCGATGCGGGCGAGGAGAAAGGAAGCGGAAGAAGTGAAGATGCTCAACAGCCTGCAGGCAGCCCATACCGCCACAACATGGAAGATTGAGAAAGAGAAAGAGCCTCTGAGCATCAATGTGGCAACTTTCCAAAGACAGCTAAGGAAACTCAAGTTCTCCCAACTCATTGAGGCCACAAATGGATTCTCGGCGGCGAGCCTTATTGGATGCGGAGGGTTCGGAGAAGTGTTCAAGGCGACTTTGAAAGACGGGTCGAGCGTTGCAATCAAGAAGCTTATAAGATTGAGCTGTCAGGGAGACCGGGAATTCATGGCCGAGATGGAGACTTTGGGGAAGATCAAGCACAAAAATCTAGTACCTCTATTGGGTTATTGCAAGGTTGGTGAAGAGAGACTTCTTGTGTATGAATTCATGGAATATGGCAGCCTTGAGGAGATGCTCCATGGGAGAACCAAGTCCCTGGATAGGCGGATTCTATCATGGGAAGAAAGGAAGAAGATTGCAAGAGGTGCAGCCAAGGGACTCTGCTTCCTCCACCACAATTGCATCCCTCACATCATACATAGAGACATGAAGTCAAGCAATGTGCTTCTAGACCACGAAATGGAGGCAAGAGTCTCCGATTTCGGAATGGCTAGGCTGATAAGCGCACTCGACACTCACCTAAGTGTGAGCACGCTGGCAGGTACTCCGGGCTACGTTCCCCCCGAGTACTACCAGAGCTTCAGGTGCACAGCCAAAGGAGATGTCTACTCATTTGGGGTCATTCTATTGGAAATCCTTACCGGAAAACGCCCGACGGATAAAGAAGATTTCGGGGACACAAACTTGGTGGGGTGGGTGAAGATGAAGGTGAGAGAAGGGAAACAAATGGAAGTTATAGACCCTGACTTGCTATTGGTGACCAAAGGAAATGATGAAGCAGAAGCTGAGGAAGTTAAGGAAATGGTGAGGTATCTTGAGATAACACTTCAGTGTGTTGATGACTTCCCTTCAAAGAGGCCAAACATGTTGCAAGTTGTGGCAATGCTTAGAGAGTTGATGCCTGGATCAGCCATTGGAAGCAGCAACAGTACTTGAGAGACAAATGCAGCTTCATGTTTGCTTATAATCATTGTAAGAACATAAATATTTTTGCATTTTTTTTCCTACTCGTTTGTAAGTTTTGTTTCTCATCTGTTAAAGAGTTTAATGTATCAAATGTTCAAATCTTTTTATTTTATTGTTGTTACTGCTTCATGAGGCTTATGGCACGTTTGTTTCACATGTTTGAAATCATGATCTTGATTTTATTACAGTACTTTTCTCTCACAAAAAATTTAAATTAAAATGCTCCTACAAATGGTTCTCTTGAAAAATTTGAATTCATAATAAAAAAGAATCAAAATTACTGAATTAAACGCATGAACCAAACGGGCTATTAATGTTTTCTGGAATCATAGATGTAAAGAGTGGTTCACATCCTGTAGACATTTTACCAAACAGATGACTTCAGAAAATATAGTCCAGCATAAATAACAAGTAAAATTATTCAAATAAACCTCTTTTTATTAGGCTCAACAGATTTGAAAGAAACCCAACCAAATTTTGAGCTCCGCAGTTGAAATTTTGTGTTGCTTATATACTTGTGGAACACAGTCTTTCTGGCTGCCAATCTCAAAATCGGTGAGGATATCTGGGAAGTTGGTAATGCAAGATTTTCTATTTTGGGTTGGTGTTGTATTAACATGAATTTAAGTTCCGAGCCAAAATGGAAAAACTTTTAAAGTGGGAATTTTTAAAGTTAAGGAATAAAATGGAATAATTTCAAAGTTTAGAAGGCACTATGCCAATCAATAAAATCTAAGTTTTAAACAATAATATTTCAAGAAATGCTGAAATGCTCAAGCTTCCTTTTATTTTTTTTTCCTACACTTGTATTTTTTTTTAATTATATTTATTGTGTTTCGTACTCCAACTGACTTAACATGATAATCAAAGTTTAATTCAGCTTTGAAAGTTTAATTTTTTAATTTCTAGCTTAGTTGGGTCTTGGTTTTTTTGGTTTTTTTTTTTTTTTAAAATATGGTGTAATTATAAGAAAAACTCAGGGCACATTAGAAACTTTCAAAAAGATTTATATAAATTTCTAAAATTACAGAATTCCGCGGGTAGGAAGTGTATAATTTTATTAGTTTTATTTATTTATTATTGTTGTTGTTGTTAGTATTATTTCTATTTAATTATTATTTTTTTATTTTTATTTTTATTTTTTGCTTAGGAGGCGTAGAATGTTAGAGAAGTCGAGAAATGTTTGGGTTTAATTGGGTCACCATCTCAATGGGGAGTCACATTGAATGACAGGGTAAGGGAGCTTAGGCCCAATAGGGATCCACCTCTGTCTCTCTAATCTTTCTTGGGCAACGATGAGGAATGGTCCTTAAAGAACTAACCTTTTAATTCATCCTCTATGATATTGAAGTTTTTGATCTATACCCTTCAAATGGACGGGTCAAAATCAACAACACATATGTGTTATTAAATGGGAAAAAGGCCACATACCACCAAATTATTTAGAATGATATAAAAGGTTACAATAACAATCAATTATTTAGAATGACTTTTTTAATAAATTTATACGCAAACCATATACTTTTCTCTTATGAAAATTACTCTTGATGGACGGAAAGTAATCTATAAGATTACCATGGGTAATCTACTAGATGCCACCGGAAGACATCATCCGCTCACTAATGCCAATCGTTGATAGAGAGATTATTATTATTATTACTATTTAATACCCTACTAGGTTATTTTTTATTTTCGACAAAATAGGCTGGGCCATTTTCAATCGTTGATGTTAGACATTGGCGAGTGATCTTGCTGATATTTTTAGGAAATTATAGTGAAAATAAGATTTATAAAACTAAATTAAGTAAATAACAAATTTTAAAATTATTTAAAGTAAATAACAGCTTTTCGTATAAATGATTTATTTAATATTAGTAAATAAATCATTTATGTAGTAAAAAATCATTTTACTAATCGTAAAAAAGAATTTACATAAAAAAAATCTTTTTTCTAATCATAAATGAAACATTTACATAATAAACTGCTATTTATTTTAAATAGTTTTAAATCTATTATTTACTTCAATTATTTTTATAAATCCGCTATTTACTTCATTTTCCTTTTTTTATAATCTACCATATTATTTTTATTTTTACCAATAAAATGACTTGCCATCTCGAATAGTTGGAGGATAATCTGATAGATTACTTTTGATAATCTATAACATTATCTTTTCCTTTTCATTAAAGATGGAAGACCGTCTTCATAACCGATTGCCAGGATCCATCGCTAAGAGTAATCTGGTAAATTATCATTTGTAATCTACCAGATCATTTATAGAATCCATATAAAAGAACATCAAATAACAAAAAAAAAAAAAAAAAAACATAAAATATCCAAAAAAAATTCAAAGGAATAAAAAAATACAAAAAAAAAAAATCAAATTAGAACGTTTTCACCATATTTATTATTAAAAAAAAAAAGAAAAGAAAAAATGCATTTTTAACAGCACCCAAAGATAAAATTTTTCAATTAATTATGTAATTATCTCTCTGAAAATTCCAGTTATTATGTGATAAGTATATTATGATCTAAGTCAAATTTTTTAAAAATCTTTCGTCAATTGAGTATCAGGGACCAAAACAAAAAATTAAAATAAAAAATAATGATCATGAGTAGTTTGCCAAAATAAAAATTGAGGCACCAAAATGTTACATTGCTCATAGTCAAGAACTCTTGTTGTTACTAAATATATATATTGGACTTTAAGTTTGTCAAAAAAATTATACCATGTACTTTGAATATTCTCAAGATTGTACGTCCAAATTTTATATTCCTATCAAATTTTGTTTCTTTTAGGGGTAACAACTGATTTTGACATTTAAATTGATGAATTTATCTTTTTGGAACTTGTAGACAAACATGTAACAAAATATAAATTGAGTGTTATAATCGTACAAGTTATATTTTTCAAATTGAGGTACGAATGTAAATCTGTTAATTAATTAGTATTTGATTATAGGTTTTTTCATAAATTGAAGGGAAAATCATTAATTTAAGGCCAAAATTAATTATTGACTAAAAATTTTGAATTTGCAACTTTGGAGGCACAACTTTTAATAATGTTATTTAGTTGATATATTCTAATATATAAACTGCAAACTACTAATAGAAATGCTCAATCATAAATGTGAGTGTGTTTAGCGGCTGCGGGTGAGAGATAGAGAAAGAGATTAATATTAAAGAAGAGAGCCAATTATTTGGTGGGACCGAAAAGGGAGGAAAACTCTCTTTTTTCCACCATATTATATCTATCCATAAATTGCAGGATTATTACAATCCACCCATCCATTAAAAATTCGAAAAGATTTTTTTATCCTAAAAAATTTATAAAAAATATTTCAAAAAAGTAATATATCAATTAAACACAAAATTATTTATCTATCATTTCAATTCTTCCATGTAAGAATATAATAGAATATTAGATTATTTTTATTAAGGAGTCCTGAACTTTAAGATCATTCTCAATTTACTTCTTATATTTTAAAAACTCTCATTTTGCATTGTGAATTTTGAATTTGTACCGTTTAAACTCGTATGTAAAAATTTTTGTTAAAATCAGACTAAAAATGAAGAGGTTAAGTATGGTCATGTGGTTTTTATTTTATCTGCTTATTTTTCATAAAAAATCAAATAAAAAGGCCACGTGGCTGCGTTATTCTTATCCTTTTCTATCTGTTTTTAACAGAAATTACAACAGAAGATGTTTAAAAATAGTTCAAAATTCAAGAGATAAAATGAGAGTATTTAAAGCTCAATAGACAAACTGAAAATAACTCTAAAATTCAAAAAATACCATTAATAATGATCTTTACCTATCCAACATTAATTGAGGTTTAATTTTAACCACATTAATTTAAAAAAAAAAAAAAAAAAAAAAAAACCCCCTTTAACGAAGTGAAAGTGCCCCAATGACATGCATATAGCCCAAGGTCATAGTTAGGGGGGGGCCATGGCCTATCTTCCTAGCCCTGTTTTTTGTGGGTTAATTCAAACCAATCTCAACCTACGATACATGGATGAACAAAGCCTATGATGTACGGATGGCCCCATCGTCCACTATCACTATGTTCGGCAACCCGACGCAATTGCACTAATATCTAAAAGCACCCAATTATGGCCCATGCCCCAATTAACCTGCTCCTCCCACTATCACATACTTATTTTCCGCAAACTCAGAAAGAATATTGTCACAAAAGCCCCCCCTCCCTTTTACCCACTTTAGTGCAACTAGAGAAAGAAAATTAATGGTGGTTTGAACAATGCAAATGTGTTCAATTTTCCTCCCCAAATTCTCAACATAATTAGATGTTACATGTATATATGAAATGAGAATGTTAGGCAAACAAGGGCCTTTTTTTTTTTTGTGAATGGTGATATATATTTGTCCTCTACCAATTGGATTCGGCTGAGAGATTTTCAACCATACATCTCTATCATATCTCCAACCTTTTTAAAAAAAAAAATTTCCCAAAACCAATGGTGACAATAATCTTTGGTTTTAGATACTTGTCTTAGATTGTCGTTTCAATCTAATTAGCTAGGGAATGCCGACGATTTTATTAGGTCTATTAATTGTTTTTTTTTTTATCCATTTTATGCTGACCACTTATAATTTTATCATTGAAGAACTGAATGAATTTTTTACCTAAGAAAGAAAAAAATGATTAAACATTTTTAAATTACAAAAATGGTCGAAATTCAGATATGTTCAAGGTGTCTATGAAAGGAAAACGAAGTACTTCTTCACTAATTAACAGATAAAAAATTGGTTTACTACAATTAAAATGTATTATTAACCAAGCTAATTATTACAGGGTTTTTTATTCTTAAAGATATTTGCGGGCTATTTGTGTATACAATTAGCCATTTATTAAAGTAGATGGGTCAAAATTATAATATCGGGATAAAAGTTGGAAGTGCTCAGACGACAATTATCCTATTTTCGTGACTATGTACAACAAATTATTCAAAAAAAAATGTAATTAATAAGGCTTTCTTGATTAATTACTGAAAAAGGGCTTATTTAAGAGGAAGAAAAGTTCCTCTCTCTCAAAAAAAAAAAAAGGAA